GGAGTGTAAGGAGTTTACCTTTTGGTGGTTAAGATAATTTTTTTTCTTTTCCAAAATTTGGCCATATGACAAGCTTTTGTCATGGAGAAGACATCAAAAGCAAGTCGCCAAAAAAATACTATTAAGCATGAGGCTTTGTGAGGGAGATGAATGACCCGTATACAAGAGCATCGAGGTTGGTTGAGGGAGTGAAGATCAACATTTGTTGCCACCACACTAAAAATGGAAGAAATTCCAAAGTTAATGATTAGAAGCTTGGGGAAGGAAGTCGGGTGAGAATGATATGGTTCCGACTAGAAGGACAGTTGGAAAGATTGTGGTGTTATGTGAGAGAAAGTTGAAACTCCGACATATGAGAAAGAGGGGAAGTTCTCCATTGCCCCAGAATTTTTAAAATCATGAAAATACAAATGAAATGGGATTTTATGGAAATTTATGAGCCAGTAGAAGGGGTCAAAAAATATTTTAGGAAGAGATCTCTAGGCTGATGTTGGTATGGAAGGTCATTGATTTTAAGAGGGGATTTCAATGCCATAAGATTTTCGGAGGAAGATGTGGGAGGAATTCCCTGATTTTATTAACTTGTTAGTTATTTGGCAGGCATGTGAAAGAGGAAAAGAAGGAAAAAGTCCTAATTCAAGAAGGAAGTGAATTAGGTCGTCTAGAAAATCCTGAATGTTGTTAGGTCTGTTGGTGGTTTTAATTTGAGGTCTCTGCAATTGAGGTAATCAAGCTAAAGCTAGAAGCAAGTGCCGAATAATTGAGCAAAAATCAAAAGAATATGAAAACAAAAGTTCGTCTTGCACGTGTATGGGGTTTAATAGAGCTGCTATAATTGTTAATTTAGGTTAATGGTACTGATTATGCTAGACTGGTAAAGGCTCATGTGCATACATATGAATATATTATTCAGTATAGCTTTTCCTTTCCTTCCTGATGTATAGACAGCTCTAGTTGTAGTTGAGCAGCCCCATCAGGATGACAAGATTGAAAGCATCCGTACGAACTGTTAATTGAAGGGGTTGGAACAAAAAATAGATTAAATAAGTGGAAAAGTAATTTCGGACATAGTATAAAGACTCTCTACTCTTTGTTTTTTAGCAATTTAACAGTGATGCATATGATGAGTGATGACTTTGTTTAGAACAACAGGTGTTTCTCCTTTTTCTAATTAGAAGTAGTTAATTTTTTAGGCAAAATATATAGACAGACACTCAAACTTGGTCGCAACTGTCAGTTTGACACTTAAACTTATCCAATGATCTAGTAAACACTTCAACTTGACACAGGTGTGTCTCGTGGACACTCGAATCTGACCAGGCACCGTGTGTGCTGTCTTCACATTTGAGAGCGTGAGATGTTATTCCAACCCATTTCCAGCTGAAAAGGTATAGCAAAATTCCATTTTACCCTTATAATCTACCTCTATTTCATTTGTAATGCCCCTCTCCCATCCTTCTCCATATTTTATTCTTTTCTCTCGACACCCACATCCCTTCCTTGCCTTCATTGTCTATTACTGATACTCTTGCAATTCGTTTGGTGAAAGTCCAACAACCCTATGCTAACCGGCAATCCCTGACCTTTCGTTTCATTTTTTACCTTTTGTTTCATTCGTTTTTTCTTTTCTCAAAACCTTTCTTCTCAAATCTATATGCCACTTGATATACTTTTTTGGTCAGAAATCACCTCTAATGAGAAACGATCTTAACCTCTTGGATTTCTCCCATTTTTAAAGACTTTAAAGAACACAAGAAATAGAGACATTGATTCTATGAAATTGAACTAATAATTCAATTCCTTTCTCTATGTAATTCGCAATCCAATCACAAAAGAGATATTGAAGGAATGGTTGGACAAAAAAGAGGGTGGTACTTGAGATGGAGAGGGGAGAACCAATTAATTAGTGGTCAATAATGGTGGTTTGTGGTGAAAATGGCTGAGGAAGGAGGTGGACGGGAGGCTTTTTCTATTTTAAATAAAAAAATTACTTACAAATTTATTATGTTTTTAAAAAATATACGTGCCATTTGCTAATTTGTCCATTTGACATGTCACCCGTGATTGCAGTTCACGCGTGAAGTCTGTTAGACCCGGGTGTCCATGAGACATACACGTGTCAAGTTGAAGTGTCTACTTGATCATTGGATAAGTTTAAGTATCAACATGATAGTTGGGAGTTGGACCAAGTTTGAGTGTCTATCTATATATTTTGCCGTCTTTTTTTGTAACCAAGAAATCCCCAACGGCCAGTGGTGCACAGTTAAAAATTTGATGGATAATTGGCACGTTGTTCTACCCTTCTTCACTTAAACACCAGGCTTTTGTTTGCGGGAGCTTATTTCCGCAATGTTTTGCGTTATACTTTATCGCTGTTCTACCCTTCTTCACTTAAACACCAGGCTTTTGTTTGCGGGAGCTTATTTCCGCAATGTTTTGCGTTATACTTTATCGCTGTTCTACCCTTCTTCACTTAAACACCAGGCTTTTGTTTGCGGGAGCTTATTTCCGCAATGTTTTGCGTTATACTTTATCGCTGTTCTACCCTTCTTCACTTAAACACCAGGCTTTTGTTTGCGGGAGCTTATTTCCGCAATGTTTTGCGTTATACTTTATCTGTTCATATATTAATATGACACTTTTCATTTTGAACATTCTGAATTTTTGACACCATTACATTTCTATAAAACATTCACAACATTCAAGAATTTGAATTCGTTAATATATATGTCAAGCTTAAACTGTATTTTTGTCTCTGAAAAAAAACCCTTAGACTCTATTTCCAATCAAATACCTTGTTATAAAATGAAAGGGGAGAGAGTAGTTCTTTGAGGTACTTTTTTTTTTTTTGACACATGGATTGGAGTAGTTCTTTGAGGTACTTGAGATGCTTGTTACTTGCTTTGATGACTTTGTGCTCCATAGATTTACATTAAGCAGATTTTTTCTGGATTTTAAGGGCTGGGGGCAGCACTCACCTCAGAAGTATACCTAAACTATAATTACACAAGGTCCCGGGTTTTCTAAAGCATAATGATGGTAATGCAATGCTCACGAAGTATGAGAGGAATAGTTTACTACTGCAATGGGTTTTCAAATGCATGGGTGGCAACTGTTAAATTCATTTGTGAATACCAGGTACCAGATTAAAATGGACAAATAGGAAGTCCAAACAAATATAACTTGGTTTATACATAAAGGACTGCTATAGCTGACTCATCTGTCTTACTACAACTACCTTCTCCCTATTCTCTGTTTTAGACCTATATAACTAAACGCCTAATGTTCGACCAATCTATTGGAAAATGCTTTTGCAGGTGTTAGGGCTAGTGCAGAGAAGTTCATTGAAGAAACATGTGCTACAAATATAAATCGACTTATATTAAATAAGTCACGAGCGATTAATAAGAGTTCTCTGTCTGAGCTTTTCATCTCATTCATTGCAAAGGTAGTAAGTTGTCCAAGGCTCTATTGTCTGTCATGTTTATCATATGATGTTGAACCTGCGGACTATTTTGATATTTTCTTTTTAATGGATATTGATTACAACCTTGAAACTATAACAATGTTGCAAGAAAAATTAACTGCGATCCTCTATGTAGTTCTGCGACATCAGCTCAAAAGCCTCTGCTCAAGGAATTAGCCCATTCACTGGCCAGTGGGAAGATATTGAGGGCAACATGAGATGGCTGCCTAAAACATACACAATATTTGTAAAATATCTCTCTCTCTCTCTCTCTCTCTCTCTCTCTCTCTCTCTCTCTCTCACACACACAAAAACCCCATGCGCCCACACCCTTTTTTCCCATCATGCACCCACCTTAAGAAGCAAAAGAAAAGGATAAACCAAAAAAACTGCCAGGTCTAGGCCTTTTTTATTTTGATCTTTTTTTGTATTTTGACATTCAGGTTGAGGATCCCTTTGAGCAGCCAGCTAATGCAGCAAGGGGTGTAAGCAGTAAACAACTAACAAGAATAGCAGAAGCATTCAGGAGGACCCACTTTATGCTTATTTCATCGAATCAAAATCAGAATGAAGTTATTTCTACTCTTGTTAAGCCACATGTATCGAAGTTTGTGGCAAGAACTCCTGCTGGAAATCAAAATAACTACAGTAGAAATGGCCTTAGGCCGCAAGTTCAGGCGCAGAGAGCTATAAAGCCACCATTACAAGTACAACATCAGCTTCAGGCCCAGAGAGCTATACCGCCACCAATGCGAGCACAACATCAGCTTCATGCACAGAGAGCTGTACTGCCACCAATCCAAGCACAAATTCAGCTTCAGGCACAGAGACCCGTATATCCACCATTTCAAGCACATCGGCTTCAGGACAAAAGGGTGGACAGGAATCAGAATTCGTCGGCGCAGAGACCCACTCAGGCTAATCGTGTTCAAACACAGCCAATATGGAGGCCAAAATCGGACAGATAGGGGGCATGAATTTGACTTGTGCTGCTGAAACTAGGCATCCTTTCAAGTGCTTACTATTTTTTGTTTTGTTAGGGTAAAATGATGGCTTTTGTCCAGAGAGATTAACGAGTCTTTGCCAGTTTTAGAGAAAAAGACAATTGTCCCTTCGAGGGGACATCCGATAATTGGAACGATACAGAAAAAAAAAACACTTGATAATACAAATTGCTATGTGCTATAATTCCAGCACTAGTGATGGAGGATTCTGGTCTACAATGCTTGAGATATATTTTCTTAGAGGCGTTCCAACACCCTTCCCACCTTCCCCCTGGCCTGCTTGAAATTATTATGGTGGTAGTCTATTATACAATGATCAAATAGTAAATGTATCATTTAAGTAAGATCAAAATCATACATAGTATAGCAGGGGATTTCGTGAAGTACTGAACCGTAGATCAACGGAGTTTAATACAGTACCTTGTTCGCTTTGCAGCTAGATTAATTTATTTTAGCTTGAATTATCGACATTGAAGGGGGGCTGACTTTAAGATTTGCGGGTTGCACAATATGTTAAATACACTACCCTCAACAATGTCTTCTCTTGGGTATTAGATGTACCTATAAAATTAAAAGAGTGACACTATCGATTTCTTATCAATACTTCTCATACGGAATCTAATCTGAGTACCACAGAATCCCTGAATTTATCAATTTGTAGAACACACGCTGTTGTCTCATGACCAAATAATTTGTGGCCTTTTTCATGAATTGATAACAAACTAGCAAGAGTGGTTTACTAGAAAAATATTAAAACATGCTACAGTCGGGAAATCTTGCTGCACGAGGGAAAACACAAAATAGAAACGTGTACTCTTCAGCAGAGGTCATAATATTTGTCAACACAAACATGCTAAAATAATTTGCTCCTTGAGATTAATCTAACTTCAGTACATCTGCTACAGGTGAATTTAGAGCTGGATACATATTCATCATCACAATTACGAGCAGCAACAGCAATGAATGGAAAGAGATGGTGACATTATCAACACAATGATGCAAGTAACTTCTGTGCCTATCATAATAAAAATTAAAGTAAATGAATAAAATTGATAACTGGAGAGTAAATTTCTTTGAATGCAAACCAAAAAATGTTTTCACTACAGTGGGCTAGCTGCACATGAACTGCCTCATTATAGGATACGTGGTTCTAAAAACAGCATGCGTTACGTAGGGCAGCCATCCCCTTCAGCTCCATTTATTGCAGAACGATGAAGCTCTGAATAATCACAGTCTATCCACATCAATATATATTAATGGAGTTGAGCAATTAGTCCCTACACTTTCCATACTGTCTCCTGCTCTTCCAATGAAAGCGCATGACCAGACATTGTTTGATTTCCCCTTTCAACTCAAGTACTCATCAACTCAGGCTCGTAAAAGACGTTTGTCACATGTCAAAATCCTGTAACTTGCATGAGGACCCTCAGATGTGTCCCTCAGAGATACGTGCCAACCCATGGCTTTTCCAACTTCCTGAAGTTCATCCATAACAGCAAGAGAATCACGGATGTATATCCGTCCACCAGGTCTTAATAACCGATCCATTTCAAGCATGATTGTGGATATGTTGCATCTGAAACGCCAAAATCAAACAACGTCATGACAACATGTTCTTCATATGCTACTCTAAAGAAAGCCCAACTTCACTACAGTGAGACCCCATGAACTTGGAGTCGGACCACAATATTATATTGGAGCAAATTTTAAAAAAGTTAATAGTGTACCTTTTCCTTTCAATGGAGAAGAGACCATGCGCATGCAACAAGTCATATGTTCTTGGGTAAGTATCAAATGGTTCACACCTGAAAAATGGCACAGCTATTTATATGTAATCCAGCCAGATCTTTCTGCCTCAAGATATCACATATCAAAAACAGAACATCCAAATATGCATTTCCTCCTACCAACTTTTTCCAAAGAAATGCCTAAAGATTTGCATGAACTATAAGCCAGAATACTGTATCTCATAGGATGGAGGATGCTACCACAAAATCACTCAGCAAGCATCCTTTCCTTTTTCATCTTTTTATTTTCCCCATTTCCCCCTTCCTCTCAAATCATATTGGTGTTGGGAATGTGTAGAGACTAGAGACAGAATTGCATGGCTCAATGAAATTATTACAATATAAGGATACGCTGTACCTATAAGGACGAAAAATATAGACTAAGTACAAGATGAGCAGTTCTTACCAGTCATGCATGACTCCAAGTAGTCCACGGTCATATATGATGGGTAAGGTATTTCGGCCACTAACAGGGACAACATTTAGAACCCAGCAATCCAGTTGATTTTCAACCAATGCTGCAGCAAATCTGACAAGAAGGCAATTGATAGGCATTCTAACCTAAAACTTTAGAACAGTTTTATGCAAATGCATTAAAGTGAATAACCAAAAAGGGGAAAGCAATGGAGATGGAACAAATACCCTCCAAAACCAGCTCGCATATCCAACACATTTCTAAGTTTGAAGTTCTTCCAGTGCAAGGCACGGACATAACTTTCAATTATTTCTTTCCAGAATCTTGACTCTGCCCTGAAAAGCTCTTTTCTAGATATATATGCATCAAGTTGTATGCTCTGGAGCCTCTCTGGTGGATCGTGAAGGCGTGAAGGCCATGTGGTAATATTTGCACCATATCCTTCTTCTGGTAGTCTCGTAATACAAGCTTTCAGATCAACATACCTAAAAGTGATTTTGGAAAAAAGTCATAAAGGGCTAGAATGAAAGAAAAGCATGAACAGAAAATGAATCATGCAACTATAAGGTATTCACAAGCTTTTGGATCAGTTCACTAATATTAGGTACTGCAATCTTTTGAATCAGTTACTGTCGGAGACGCTCAAACTTAGTAAAAACCCTAAGAATTTTCAACAACCATTTATTAGAAAATAAGCTGATATTTTATAGATGGCAGTACCTTTTTATGCTGACTAATTGGCTACAAGCTGCTAACAGTGCAAGTTAACTCCATTTTTATAACGTGGAAAAGAAACGGCAAACAAAAGACAGTTAGATTAAAGAGTAATTATCATTTTTTTATTTCACAGACATGCCCTGAATTAACTCTCATTTTGAGAATAAGTTGAATCTAATGGGTACTCCACAATGGAAAGCACCACCTACACTAGGACATCAATTCTATTTAGTCTATTCCAATCACATGGGCCAACAGAAAATTCCTAGGCGAGTTTTAATGAGGATGTCCTAAAGAACAAAGGTCCCTATTTCAGTTGTATACTGAGCACTAAATGAGATGAGATAGATGCAAAAAATATAATTTCTCATTCTGCAATAGGATATGGTATAGCCATATGCAGAAGTGCTTGTGATGATAATGTATGCCAACACCACTGCAGTGATCTTTAGAGCAAATAAAAATAACTTCTAATGTTGCTTAACTAATGTTTTCCACAGCCTACATAATATTACTAATTGTTGTGTTCCCTCTCGGGAAAGAACTTGTCCTTCCCACTAAAAAGGATTCAGCAAACATGGAAAGACTGAAGCATTGATCTCCGCGCAAGTTACTAAAACTCCATCGATATGTGGCACAAAACAATAGAGGGCATCCTGAACCAAAGACACCATACATCATTTGCTTTTAAAGATATTGGAAAAATTCATCCACTGTTAAGTGGCGGAAGACTATGTGTTAGCAATCAGCTAGTCTAAGTTTGAAAACATTTTTAAATACAAATCTCTATGCCCTAAAGAACAAAGGTCCCTATTTCAGTTGTATACTGAGCACTAAATGAGATGAGATAGATGCAAAAAATATAATTTCTCATTCTGCAATAGGACATGGTATAATCATATGCAGAAGTGCTTGTGATGATAATGTATGCCAACACCAGTGCAGTGATCTTTAGAGCAAATAAAAATAACTTCTAATGTTGCTTAACTAATGTTTTCCACAGCCTACATAATATTACTAATTGCTGTGTTCCCTCTCGGGAAAGAACTTGTCCTTCCCACTAAAAAGGACTCAGCGAACATGGAAAGACTGAAGCATTGATCTCCACGTAAGTTACTAAAACTCCATCGGTATGTGGCACAAAACAATAGAGGGCATCCCGAACCAAAAGACACCATACATCATTTGCTTTTAAAGATATTGGAAAAATTCATCCACTGTTAAGTGGCAGAAGACTATGTGTTAGCAATCAGCTAGTCTAAGTTTGAAAACATTTTTAAATACAAATCTCTATGTTTTAAAATGGTCATAAATTTTGCTTCTCGGGAGTCGAACAAAGTAACTTTGCATCATATTAAATGTATTCTTCCATCATCTTCACATGGAAAAGAGTTGTGACCGACATTTTATTCTAGACGACTGTGATAGCAATCATCGCTAATATCTGAATTTTATAAACATGATCTACGTCCAATTTAGCCCAATAATCGGTCAAATTGATTTTCACTAAGCAAGAACTGGCAAGCAAATTGGACAAGAGGGAACAATTTTTAATTTAAAACAAAGATACAGGATCAGGGAAAGAAGATTGAAGAAATAACTACATCTCAGTGCCATGATTTCACTAACTTTTTCTCGTTTCTAGTTAGATGGGTGACAGCAATACAACGGGCTGCATGACTTCACCAAAACGTTTCATCCAAATAACTCCTCCTGTGTTCTTATTAGTATTTAGTAGTATATTTATAATGATTATTTGTCCATCTCTCTGCACATGCACAACAGATCAAAAGCCCCAATTGACGATGAGGAAACTCAAATCTTTTTATTCCTTTATTCTGTTTTGGGTGAGGAGCACCAGTAGGAAGTTCCATATACTCCGTAGACCATATATGTGTACGCGTAAAGGTATTTCAAAAATATCGTTTTCAGGGGCCATGACCTTCTCCCTCCCCCCAAAATAAAATAAAATAAACATTCATTATAGTTTTATTAGAAGAAACCACTTTTGGGTGTACCTCTGATGTGAGTTCACTTTTGCAGTAAAAAGAATGTGTAATTCTATTGCAGAATACGTGGTGACAGAAACAACTAAATACCATCAACAGATGAATAGTGAAATGAACTGACAACATGCATGGTGCCCGTGCTTGTACTAATTCAAACTCTATTTTTCTCTCCCCAATCTCAAGAATGTACAGTAAGTAAATTGCATCTATAAAATGCAGCTTTGATCAGGCACAATTGCTGCACAGATGTTCACCCCTCTTCTATGCCAAGATCTGGTTCAGATCAATCTCGAACCTATATGCAAGGATGATTTCTTTTCAATTTACAACACTGCTGCTAATACTAAAAGACATCATGAGCCAATAAGAAAAAATTAGTCTGCTATGACTGTAAAAGTAAAGCCTTGCTAAACAACTAGTAAGTTGATTGGTACATTAGTAAGAAAAATGAGAGTAAACCATCTCAATGTTCTCGGGCGAGGCATGTAATTACACATTTAGCACAAAACTCAACAGCTTGCTGAGGCATTGGATGAAAAAAGAGGAACTGCATCCAATTACTTTTTCTACGAAGTGCAAAACAATACAAATTAGCATATGCGAAAATGGAGGACCAAAATAAGGACAACTGTGAAGAGGGAGATAAATTTGACAATGTTGATGGGAAAAAATAAAACTTAAATAAGCATAACCAATAAAATCCTCACCAAACATTGTCTGGATCATCCTGTGGATCACAAAGCGGCGGTTGGGATCCTTCTTCGCGGCTTAAATAGCAACTGTTGTTTAAAGGCTTCTGCCATATTGCAATATAACCTTCCTTCTTCACAAGCTTCCAGCAAAGACGGGTTGTTAGATTAACCATCTCTGGTAGAGAAAAGGAGAAAGCAAAGTGTTATGACTTGTGCAAGTTTTCAAGAACTAGAAGTGCAGGTGTAGTTTACAGGGTTTTAAAAATGGGCAATTATTCTATTTAAATTCTTAAATTGGTGGATAGAGTGAGAGCTTGCTTGTACAAAGCAAGACTACACTTTGTTAATTTAATCCAATTATATTTTCTTATACTTTTTCTTTGATGGCATTGTCCGAACCAGTTTGTATGCATCTCGGCTAACTAACTGGCAACCTAACCCACAAGCATAGATGTCAGGCTGCCACCAAGAGTGGAGCAGATAGGCTCACATTGAGAGTTGCAGCTGGAATTAGAACCAGGGATCTCCATGTTGTTACTCCTATGCCGACAACTTATCTTTTCTGATTGTTTCGTTCATGCTTAAATTTTATTTTATTTTTCGAGTATGAGAGTAATAGTTTAATCACTTAAAATGGGGAGAAAAACGAACATTAGCTAGAAGATATGATTTGTTCAATTCTCTTTGGAAGCTCCTTTCCTTATTAGCAAAAAAGATGAGCTATCTACTGATTTTGACTTGACCACTAATTTTCACACATCATTAAAACATTCGATGTTTTTGTTGTGATGCTCTCTAATAGAAGCATAACACCAACTGATAAGTAAAACCACAGGGAAATGGAGAATTGCTTACAATAATAGGAGGTTAACTCTTTAATGCTATTCAGAAGATCTGGCATTAGTCATACAACATGCCAACTTTTAATAAAGTTACCTTCCCATTGTTCTTCTAGGGCAGCTTCATGCTTATAAACGGGTTGTGCAGCCCAAACAAAATATCCTCCGGCACGGAGCATCCTGTTCACCTCCAATAGTAAAATACCATCTTCATAAAATCAGAGGATCAACGCGCAAATTAGAGATTTACCATATAAGAGCAAGACAGGAATCACAATCTGGTTATTTAGACTTAAAAGATGGCAGCATTTATTAATAAGTTCAATAACAAAGAAGTGGAACTAGAACACACATTATGAAACTATCAGTCTAATACAAATTCTCTTTTCATATAGGACACTTGAGACAAAGCTTCTAACCAAAAAATCTACAAATTAATGGACAACAAAGAGCTAATAAATTAAAGGCAAAAGAAAAAAAAGAAATTATCACACTTAACAAATGAAAGAGACAAACTAGGAACTCCCCGAGAAATTATAAGTGGAATATCTTCAACTGCATCCATGAAACCTTAGAATGCGGGAGCGACTACGCAGCAACAGAAATGTTTATAAGTGTTTCTATTTTTTTTCCTCGGGACAGAAAAAGGAAGTTTTCTCTTACGCCTTCCAAGACAATTCTGCCAAAAGACTATTCCTGAACATGGGAATCTGACTCCACTCACAAAGATTCACAACTATTGGTAACAGCTTATCAATCCATCAAAATAAAAAGCAGTAAAAAGAGAAGTTGCAAATTATCAGATCCAGTATACATTTTTTTAACAATAAGACTTCCACCATTACCCTTAGAATGCAAGATTTGAAGCCAAAGTTAGCTCAAATGCAACAATTTCAAAAAACAATAATAATAAAACCATCTTAAAACAATAGGAAGTATAAGCTCGTCACGATGGGATATTACTAGGATATAGAAAAGCATACCATCACGAGTCCAATTGATCCTACACCTTGAACAATGGATTAATTCAAATGCCTGGCTGGGATACATTAACCGATGTGTTGCAAATGCAGCCACCATTGCAGGCACCCCGCGCTCAAGAGCAAATTGAATCTGGTTTTCATGAACATCTTTTGGAGCAATTGACAGAGCGAGCACATTCCGTGATAGTAAATAAGCACCAAAGCTTGCTACGCCGCAACCAATATCCAAAGCAACTCGGGTATGACGACCAAATGCAATTTCAGGGACCATCTAGTGAAGACATGGTCCAAAGGAAAAGTTAAATTAAAAGAATACTAATTTTGTTTAATCTGTTGACTCACTGCTTTAAAGTAAATAAGAACAAAATCATATACCTTCTCAATCTGATCCAAATACTGATCAGCTCCATGTATGAACTGGGTGCCGCCACCAGGAAATTTGAACTTGTCCTTGTCTATGGTGATCCAATTTTGACCCCCTTTATCTTCAACTAGACGTGCATGGGGAACATTGCTGAACCAAACCTGCAGTAGAAATAGTTGAGAATTCCCTAATTCCATATATTGTATCTAACATTGTAAAAATCACGTCCCGTCTTTCAATTTGAATTTGAATTTTCACTTGATTTTAAGGGGCGAACTTTTGCGATTTTCTTTTTTGAGAAAGGTAACATTAACTTTTGTGATCATCATTATTACACTCAAGTTGGTGGAAAGCTTGATCACGGCTCAAACTATAGTTCTATTCAGACGGAGTACATGATCATGGCCACATAGAACAGAGGCCAAGGGATTCAATAGAATCCCCTTCATCGGAAAATTATATTGCGCAAACAGGGCAAAAATTAGTTTCTTTTTTGGGGTTATATTAAAACTGTTGAAATTCTAGTATAGTGGCAAAGAGGTTCAAAAATTGCTTTATGTCACATGTTCAAATCCCAAGTGTGACATTCTAGAATTTTTTTTTTTTTTTTTTTGAATCCCTTGCACAAATTCCTCGCTCCGCCACTAATAGAACATTGTGCCAATGAGACAATAAATACTTCAAAAAAACTAAAGTTGAGAAATTTATCCAAAAAAAAAAAAAAAAAAAAAAAAACTCAATACATGAAGAAATCAGCCATGTTTTTGGCAAAGAATAGCATACCTCATCACGGCTCCTGGGCCATGGAATTGGAGCTTGGTAACCTCTAGGTGCAGGAACCAAGCAATTCAACCCCTTATCTTTTTCAGGACAATGCCGTTCGAATTTATCACCTTTCTCCGTTGAATTCAGCTTTTGGATAGCCTCCACATTGTCAAGGCACGGAATGTACTCCCTCATACTCTCAGGACAGAGCCCGAATTTCTTAACCTTAACAACCTTATTGTTTTCCGACAAATCTGTCTCGTTTCCAACACCCGGCCAATTCTCCACAACATCCGGATCATAATCCCCCACCGCGAAATCTTCCTTCATTACTCCATTCTCGTCCAATAAACCCATATGCTGCACCGCCGACGGTGGCGGTGGGGAAGGAGACAAAGTAACCGCCGGCGGTGGCGGAATTGAAACTTCACCCGCTTGCTGTCTGTTGGTATCGTTAATAACAGTGGATAAATCATAAGTTTTATTGAAATTGGAGGAAAGAGAAACAGCTGAAGGAGAGATGAGCCCAGATGGGTTTTGGCGCGAATTGAAGAAAAGGAGCTGTTGAGACGATCCATCAGACCAATGTTTGCCGAAGTAGAAGAAAGCGACGGCTAAGAACACGAAAGCCAACACTTTGATAACAGTAGTGGACCTGAGTAAATCTCCACTCAACCCCTTCATGTTTTTTCACTTTCTCATACACACACAGAGAAACTATACAACAAAATTAGTGGGTTGTTGTAGATCTGAATCTCTCAATGAGAATTCTTGCAAATGAGGCAGGTAGCCTACTGTGCTAAAGAAAAAAAGGGAAGACAGAAAGAGAGAGTAAATGAAGTGCTGAATTAAATGCGAGAAGAAGGCTATATATAGTTGAAACTGGAACAAGTATGGGCGCCGCTAATCTTCGAATTTGATATGTGATAGACTCTCTTCTTTTACGTGCATACCTAAGATCAAATGATGAAGACCCGCAAACTAAATACTGTTGCGGAAGCCAAATGTATATAGTGTCAATAAGTCACAACTACTATACCAAAATTATGACAGCCACCAAATAATAAATAAGACAATAAAGCAACAATAAAGGGAACACCAGAATTTACGAGGTTCGGTTAATTTTGCCTACTCCTCGGACACAACCAATATTTTATTTCACTCCAAAAATACAAGTGAAATAATACTAAAGAGAGAAGATACAAATGCCTTAAACAGATGAGAAGGCAAATGAGAGGTGTGTTTCAATCCTAAACATTAGGCCTTCTTTTATAGGGGAAAAATCCCCCCCAAACTTAACTCCCAACCAATGTGGGACTTTGGCATTTTGCCAAACTTCAACA